GGCATATTAAAACGATTGGAAAATACTCAAAATGATGGTAAAACCCAAAGCATGAGATGGTTCAAAACTGACAGAAAATTTGAAAACATCGAAAACGGCAGTAATAAAAAAAATTTGAAAACGATAGAAAGTAAATAACAAAAGAGAAGCAAGACAATGATTCTGATTCAGGAAAAATATAGAATATTATTAAAATACTTCCAAATTTAAAAAAAAAAAGTCTAACAGGGATTAAATCATCAAAAGGTTGGGAGAAATAAAACTGAAATGAAAAACTGACTAATTTCCAAAAATGAAAGAATCCAACATGAACATAAAATGGCGCTAATATATATATACTTGTATTTATGGTGCAGCGATGAAAACGACCGAACTGTAACCTGGGTAAAGCTGGACTTGTCCGGGAACAGGACTTTGGACACTGCTCCAGTCTGAGACAATCCGGTTGGGATGCTGACAACAGTACTTTCAGTAATCCAGTCCAGAAAGGCAAGATTACTGACAACAGTAATCTTGCCTTTCTGGACTGGCGGCTAGTGGAACACAAACACTTCGAACAAGGGGTTTCATCTCTTCTGAAGATCGGTATATTGTTGTAGTAGCAAAGCGGAATCTACGAGAGACCTCCACAATTATTACATTAATGATTCCAGCTTCGCTTGGCAAGATAATATTTGCTAGTACTGTACGCCGCAGGGTTCTTATGAAGGGACTGTACGCCCGAGTACGAAGTGTTTGTGTTCCACTAGCCGCCAGTCCAGAAAGGCAAGATTAGTCAAGTCCTCTCCACTAGTCGCCAGTCCAGAAAGGCAAGATTAGTCAAGTACTAGCCGCCAGTCCAGAAAGGCTGTAACATACGATTTTTCATATGGCCATCTGTATCCAAAAGCTATTTTCAGCCACTCTAATTCAACTGCGTTTTCGAAAGCTGTTAATTTGCACTGCTTACTTAACTTTGAAAGCCAAGGTAATATAAATATTGTAGTTAGTTTAAAAATTTTGTATTATGAAATATTATTCTATTTCATTTTCTCTTTTATAATTTCTAATGCGTCAATTTTCTTAATCTGCTGTGTCATTTCCGTTTTTTTTTTTTTTTTTTTTTTTTTTTTTTGTTTTTTTTTTTTGTTTGTTTTTTGTTTTTGTTTTTTGTTTTGTTTATGCAACATGCGTTTTTAAAAAGTACTTTAAAACTGTTTTCATTTCAAAGCATAACTGCGTTTTATAATATAAATTTGCCGCTTTTTAATTCTGCTGCATTTTTTTTCAAAATTTGTAGCTTTGTTTCTTACCTATATGTTTTCCAAACATAACATCTTTCGTGAAGATATTTGGGGAATTTCCCCTTCGTTAGTGAGTTCAATAATAAAATGCTTGGGATTATGAGCAAACACCTTTATCCAGTAGTGTTCCAAGGGCTTTTCCTTTGTAAACAGTAATCTGACTCGGCGCTACGTTTCTCTAAGAGAAACTACGCTTATTACCCAGGTTAGGTAAGGTTATTTGAATATGGTAAAGCACACGAGTGCTATCTGTCTATGGAGAGGGATGTCTTCATGGAGGACTTTTAAAGAAATACTGGCTCGTATCCCCGTTACACATGAGGGAAATCCACGAAAATTAACCATTCAGCCAGCCCGTTCGCCGGGATTCAAACCCAGGTCGAACCAGTTATTTATTTATTTATTTATTTATTTTTTAATTTAAAGAAAAAGAAGTCCTCGTGCACCACAAAGTATCACACGAGACCCTTACAACCAGTTTTTAGCGACTAGTTTTTCGACTGCTAATAGGCTTGCTTATCACCCATAACGTGAATAGGAAACCAATTTGAAATGGCTCATCCTCCTCTTTGATTCGGAATCCGGTAGTCAAGAATGCGATTCGGTAGATATTGCATTCTTGACTTGCGACAGCGTCATGAAAATTTGTTTGCTTCAGATATCGTTTCGTCGAAAAAGATGGACTTGATTTCAGATCAATATATCGTGCTTTATCTTAAATTATCCTTCCTAGTTTTTATACCGAAATAATTAGAAAATGTCTAGGTTTAGACTGTAGCGACGGGCAAGCAATTTTGACATACGCAGAAGCTTTGTTCAATAGTTATGACGGCCAGTTTACATGAAGATAGCAGCCGTGCAACAAAACGTATAGTCCTAGAGAGTATTGTATTGTATGGCTATTTTATGGAACACAGGCCATCTGTTATAAAATGCTACATTTATTGCCTTTGATACTAACTATCACACCAGGACATGTTCCAGCATACATGGCTAAAAACAGAATCCTTTTCCCCCCGAACGGTGGGCATTTTTTTGTCTTTTTTCGACATTGGCCACTCTTAAGCCCGGAAGTGGTGGCCATTTTATTGTAGAGGTACCTAATAGACAGCCACCGTTACCTTCTCTGAAAGGACCGATATGTACAACCATGCCATCTCCGGGATTCTAACCCGGGCCCTTCGGTATTGTAGTCGGCTCCCCTGACCACTATGCCATCTGGGGGGGGGACAAAATACTACTTTGATATTTACAGAGTAGCCAATAGAAATCGTATTGACATTTACGAATTATATGTTAAAAGGGTATTTGGCCTTTCATGTTAATTATGTGATATAAATTTTCAAGCTACCCCGAATGCTTTCTAATAAAACTGTTTAAAATCTAGCCATCTTTCTCGATAACCCTGTATTTAGATTTTCATTGTGACTTCACAAACTGCAGAAAACAAATACTGCAATGTTAAGTCATGGTTACTTTGATTTTACGGTAGATAGGTCGAATATATGCAAATATAAATATATGTGCGGATGTTAAAACTTTGATTTAGTGTTTTGTTGACCCTAGCGTAATAAGAGATACAACTTAAGTTTGTTTTAATTGATTACTTAGGAAATACGGCATCAAAAATAAAATTTTAAATAAATTTATGTCTAAAGATATTAATGGAGAAGTATTTCACGCAGAAAGTTTCAGGATCCAAACTAAAAGTAAATTTCAGTAACTTTCAGGATAGCAATGAAGATTCAGTCGCGTAAATTAGGAATTATCCAACAGCTAAAAGCTGTTAAAATTATTTTATATGAATGCCAGTATACTGACTTATTAATTCCTATTAGAAAGTTAATCATTTTATTCCCCTCTTCCTAAGTGTAATTTCCTTATTTTGATAGCATCTGTTCCTATAATTCTTCTTTGAAATTGAAAAAGTAAACAATTACGCAGTACAAATTCCAGTCACCTTATTATTCTATTTCTTGTTATCTTTTTGCTAAATGAAGTCTTTTCATTCGATCATCAGTCTATTATTTTTGATGATGTTTAGAAGATCCTTCAAGTATCTTAAGAGTTAGATAACGAGAAATACTTGTGAAGTGACTTATACTTTGACAGTCTTTGTATTGTACGCACGTATGGAGACGTTGCTCTACTACTGAAGACGAAACAGAACAAGAGGTTATACCTCAAAAGAAACGCTTCTTTTCATAGATTTTCTTATCTGAAAAATGCTGCATTTAGAGCATCCCTACGCAAATTCATAAGCATGTTGCGAAACTCTTCCTTACAAGGTATGGAAAAGGAATCAGGCTTCTGCTTATATTACAGGGTACATAATATATAGCGTTAGAAATATTTTTTCGTAATTACAGTAGAAGCGTTTTGATTTATATTAGTTAGATATATTATTAAAAACATACAAGCGACACCGAAGAAGGAAACACTAAGGAGAGAGCAATAGAGCTAATACGCATAGACTTGAAATTTAGCATTTCGCTGATGTTTTACATTTTGGGAAATACGGAATTCTGTTTTGCTATCAGAGTTTCAAGTTATCTATACGTGGAAGAAGCTGTTGGTTATGTCTAATTTTGTTAATACTAGACTATGTAATGTTGCATCTGGAAATTGTCTAATGTTGCAATGAGAGCGAAACATGCGTAATTTGTTACTGACCCACGACGCTTAACTTAGGATTAACCACCTATATGTGACTCATCAATATGAGCTTTTCTGTTGGATATCTAATCATGGTTAATCCAATCTTGGGTGTAGTAATACGGTAGTACCTTCCAGAGCGGCTGCGTCTTTGAAACACTGGAACCTGTCCTGGACCACAAATGCCTAGCGGTAGTCCATTTGTCATCATCAAATAACAATAAAATTTTGTTATTTATTTCAATCAGTAAATGCTTTACGAATAACGTTCGAATGTGAAAAGTTTAAGACAATTTGACGACTGCACCGCTAGGCATTTGGTGTCCAGGACAGGTTCCAGTGTTTCAAAGACGCAGCCGCTCTGGAAGGTACTACCGTATTACTACACCCAAGTGTGCCCCAATATTGGATAAACATGATCAGCTCTCTCTCTCTCTCTCTCTCTCACACACACACGCTTTAAAAAAATTGGATCTGCACTGAACCTCCAAATTCCAAAGGGCCTCGAACTGTGAAGACATCAGAGTTCGACTAAAATTTCGACATTCTGTTTAAGTATTCTTCATAAAATTAGACAACTGGAGGGAATAAGAGTATAAGACATATTTGCTCTATTTGCAAGTGTAATTACGATTAAAGTACTGTTTGTAACACTGACAAACCATTCGCATTCCGTATCCATAGCATCTATCATTGACTCTCATGAATCTTAAAACTTAAACTCTTAGGCTATGTCAACTTTCATATTCATAACCAAATATTAAAATTTGCAAAGATTGCTGGCTTTTACTTCGCATGCCATTTGGCTGTTTTTCAGTGTTTTTCAGCGCATGCATAATTTAGCAATGCTTTACATTTTTACTGCACAATACTTTGCTATTGGTCCGAATATAGTTAACTAAGAATATTCCTAAAGTGAAATTAAATTAAAGTGGAGTGAATATTTTTTAAATCGTATAAATTGCTCAAAGGACTCGTTATTTTAATTTTTCTTTCTCTGAACTTGTATTTTTAGCTTGTACTTGTATACATTTTATAAATATTTTTTTTTCATACCTGTAGGACAAACACAATACTTCACATTTGAAGGATCCGAAGCAGATGTAACGAAAATAGCCTTATCTTTCTATTCTGGACTGTTTGCTTACAATGGATGGTATGTAGTTTTTAATAATTGCATGCTATAAATATATTTCTCAAAAAAGTTAAATGGTAACAGAGATAGCACAAAAAATAATTTTCAAAATTAATTTTAATTAATTATTCTCTACAAATACATAAATGTGAAAGAAATTAATGACTTTTATTGATTTTTGAAATAAAGTGCTTATTCTTATTCTACGAGTTTCAATAGTTTAGGTTAAATTAGGTTAACTGATTAAAGCAAAGTCCACGAGGGCTATCTGCCTAATAGGAGTGCCTCCATGGAAAGCTTTCGACAGGAAACTGGCTCGTATTCGCGTTACATACGGGATAAACCATAGAAAATACCGTTGCATCTTAGGTTGCATCAGTTTTATGCCAACTGTTGCAATTTTTTTGCAAATTTCAGTATTCACCTGCAGTATTTGAACACTCATCAGGATGTTTCAGCTCTCTTCAATGATATTTTAACACTTAAAATAGTATTCGTCTTCTTTACTGTAAATTATTTCTAGTGATTTGAAATTTCTTTATTCTAATACTAGTGCTAACTCACCTTAAGCCAAGGTTATGGTGTTAAATTCGAGCTGAGAAATGGAATTACAGATAATAGAGGTATAATTTAAGCAAAATATAATTTTATTAAAAACTGCCATGTCTGCACATAAGTATTGTTACCAAGATCATGTGCCATGACGATCATGCCGAATGGCAACACCACTGAAAGCTGAAAATTTGCTAGGCTATGTAGACGATAAAAATCTTATGTTGCGTAGAATGGCAAAGTTTTTCTGGGCACATGGTTGATTAATGCTGTTTTAGAGTAAAGTAACTGGACGGGGCACGGGCATTGGAAAGATCAAATTATAGATGGTTTTAACGGCACAAAAGTCGAGTATTAAGCTTATAAGATTCTAACTGAATTAACTTGACTTTACTGGCTAGATCTTTACATTAACGATGAAGCGACTATTCGCTAAGTTCAAGCTGTATCAATTACAAGACGTAAGAAGGGTGAAAAGACTTTTATTCACCTTCAGAAGAAACTTACAGACGGCATTCCTAGTTCTTACAAACTTACCCAATACTCTTGGTTGCAAGTCAAAATAGAAAGATAAAATTAAAACTAAGTTAAATAAGCAGGCGAAGCTGCACAGAGCTAATTAACGCGAGTTAGAGCTTGGCCCTACCAACGACGTACACAAACCGGCAATTAATATACATGGTTGTAAAATAGCAAGCTTAAATCAGCGAAACAACGAGGCCGAAGGGTAGAACACGCTTTGTCTGAAATAACTTGGATATCGCCTTAAATAGTATCTTTTTACCCTATTTTGCATAATACGCATAACGGAAATATCATTCCGGCAGGAAATAGAAAAGATAAGTAACTGAACAAAAATTGGTTAGTTTAAAACTAAATGCTTCTTTACAAGCTTAATATAGAATTTTTGCGTTAAACGGAGCACTGTAAGTGTAAGTAGAAACTAAAAAATGATTATTTTTCTCTTGTGGTGATTGTGCCATTTACAGAAGCTCTAAATCTAACTTTGGCAAGAATGACATTTACAGTTTTTTTTTTTTTTTTTGGTTAATATCAAATTTAGGAATGCTTTCAGTCGGGTTTTAAGCAACCATGATTAATTTAAGATTTTTAAGATGATAACAGTGATCAATAAAATTCATTTACAACTCCCAATAATTTAATCATCAGTTTGAAAAACGGAGCAAAAAGGACAAGAATTGGGGGAAAAAAGGGAAAAGCAGAATATTTGTTTTTATAAATATTACCAAAATTCGATAAGTCAATAGGAAGACAAAAACAAAAGCCAATTCCTTAAGGCTAAATGAGCTTTGTTACAGCAGAGTAACATGATTCAAAGTAGATTATAAGGGAGTTTTCGTCTTTTTCCTCAAAAGGAAGAATGGGATTCGTTCCGCTCCCCCCCTTTTTTTTTTAATTGATGATTTTTTTTTATTTATTTATTTATTTTTATTTTAATTTATTTATTTAAAGACTAAGTTTCGAATTTTGCAACCTCCTTTATTTCTCATATTAGGCACGGAGGGATTAAATGAAACCAAAAACATTCTATTCTGTAGCTACACTATTACTGATAAATAATAAAGTAGATATAGGATTATTTGTCTTATACCTTTTATAATACTGAAAACTTCGGATTACACAACGGTAAAAAAAGGTTTATAAGGTATTTCTCCCGCCTTCTTAGCATGATAATTCCCCACCACCAGAATTTGGCGACTGGGTCCTATTATCCCCAGTCGCACTGGGAGGGAGTATATAAGGATTTCTTCTGCCTTCTTAGCATGCATTCCTGAAGTAGTGGTCAGCCTACTCGGCGCGTATTCGAAAGGTCCGAAGTTCGAGTCTCGACGAGTGCATTGTTCATTTTTCATCTCTCCAGCTTTCAAAAAATATCTAATGGCTCTACAGGTTATCTGCTCTTATCCCACTGAAATGTTTTAATTGTATTTTATTGAATTATACTTATCTAACTATTTTTAGGAAATAGTTTCATATTTATTTTCTTATTTATACTTAAGCTTGAGCTTTAAATATAAATGGAGAATTCCCTCATTTTAGTTAATTTTTATGTGATTTTTCTAATTCCGGATAAATTGGTTGACAAGTTGCTCGGTTTTAAACTTTATTGATTATTAATTATTCTGCTTTTATGGAAGAAATCAGAAATATTTAAATCTTGGAAATATAACGGTCGAGTGTGCCAAATGTGTACATCTGAAGGGTAGAAGAAAGCGGATCAGTTCATTTCCCCGATAGACTTTCTGAACACACTGATTGCTTAGCATCACGAAGAAAGATACTGTTTTGATGATCTGTACGCAACTGATACCAGTGATGACAAGAAATGAAGTAAATTACTCACATAAATCGAAGCTAAAAACATAACAGTAAATTAATTCGCTTAATAAAACGTTGAGGCAGAGTCTAATAACAAATCTGTCGAGATGTAGCAACTTATCGGGCAAACAAGTCGTCGATCATGATGTTAAAAAAACCGTTATTGGGCAATCAAACCTCACCCAGATGCACACATATTTCAGTTTCCTGAACAAATATATTTTTACTGTAACCATATGTATAATTTTTATGCAATTAATGTGAATGCAATTTACTGATGTTTATAGTTGTTACATTTTTTAAAATATTCTGTTTCGATTTTTTCCACAATTATTGTTTTAAAAATCCCGCGCATCACATTCTACCTTTTCCCAAAGCCCTGTTACTCACTCCATGTGATTTTTATTCATTCACTGTTGAATTCCTACTTGGGATATAATTTAAAATCTTTCAAATCAAGTAGTATTATTGTTCTTTTTATTGCATAGCGCAAAAACAACGGACGGACTTTGTTAATTCCATCATTGATTAAAACTGCATTATAATAACCAATGTTCCCTTTAATTTTTCTTATAGCTATGTGGTTCTGGAATGTTGCTGAATTGCAAAACTATTCCTTATATATCTACTGCGTGAAGAAATAGAAATATACTTTTAATATAATTGTAATATTCTGTACAGAGTTTTGTCTTTTTTATTCATTGAGTATAACTCATTTTAAATTAGTTTTATACTTTGCATTACTCACCGGTGATCAAAACCCAGTATGTTTTATACTATATCCAGCACTCGGTTTTGTTCATTACATGTACAGGCACTTGTGCAACTTCACTAAAATCGGCTGCTCACACGCTTATCCTAACAAAAATAATAAACGCGTATGAAGTATTTTCGATTTACCTCAATTACATCATTGTCATCTTCTTTGCTACGAGTTAGCTGTACTACATTAAATAACCATCGCTGTAGTAAAAGCTTTCGTGGAGTTCAAGGCCAGCGGGCCTTGAACCTCGCGGAAGAGGATAAGACCTCTGAATGCTGGTTACCTGCGTTCCGGGTACGATTCCAGGTATAATAATGAATGGGCTTGGCTGAAGGAGTGTTTTAACCCACGTGTAGCTAAATATGATGCATTTTACTTTAAAATAAGTTTTACTTGCAAGGTCGACAGCGCCTGAGTGTTTTGCCAATTACCCATCGGTCCCTGAGATTCACGTTCAGTAAATCCATGATGATAAACTCAATTTTGCTGACCTCAAATCTAGATTTAATGAAAAAAAAATGAGCTAGATCAAGCTAGATCACTACTAGTGAATTAAACTGCCTGAGGTGGATAATTCGCTGATAATATTCTAAACAGAGGATGCCCGAAACTTCATGTGAGTTGAAACCGCATATTAGAATTCATTTACATCATCGATCAGCCGCAAGCAGATTTTATACGAGACGCAAGTAGGTGTGTATAGCGTTTTAAAATAGTAAAACAGTTCTTGAACTGAATAAAAAGTCTGAAATAAATTGACAATGATTCAATTTTTTAATTCTGTGTATTTATACACAAAAGTAAATAATTCTTGTTTCTCTTATTCTCTATTCAGGGAATTATATACCTACAGGGAATGAATTTTAAGTTTACCTCCTTTTTTTCCCAGACAGCAAACCAATCGCATTTTTTTCTGACTGTAATTATCCTTCGAAGTTCACGAAAAATAAATTGAAAGCGAAAGAAGAAGTATAGGTTTTTCGCAATAATGGAAAAAGCTTTTCATTTGAGTGAAGAATAACGCAATGGTTTGGAAAAAAAGAACTAATTTATTTTTCGGCTGAATTATTTAGCCCATACGTATTCCTTTGGAATGTGTACCAGGAGGTTAAGAGAAGGCATCATCAGTTGTGAATATATTGAATATATTGCAATTTGAGATGCAAAAGTATTCCAAGGCTTTCGCGTAAAACGTATTAATTTGTACTTTTCCCACGCAACCAACATCGGAATCAATCTACGGATGTCCTTCCTATCCCAAATCATTAAATTGATTTCTTAGATACGAAAGTAATCGGCAGATAATTTTTGGGTTTTTTAATGATATGGAGAATTGTTATATTATGTATATTCTAATGCCGATCAG